CTCGATCCCTACGAGCTGACTAACAGGTATGACTGATAGTCGTAGGAAGCATGAAATCCCTTTCTTGAGCATCCTTGCTTTGCAATCAGAAAACCTAGATTATCGCGGAAGTCCATCCGTGTTATCGTGCCTTACCGCCTTATCCAGCACTGTTTCCCCCCAAGGTGAGAATGTAGGACATTCACGTTGTGTGTTTATGGCGGGCGCGCATTCCCCGGGGTAGGGCGAGCACACTCTGCTGTCCCCCCGTCAGCAGCCGCCTCCCAGCCGCCTCGCCGTCATGAACGGAAGCGCTCCATGCAACAGCAGCAACACGCACACCGTACTCTTTTTGAATCCGCCCGCCGTACACAGCAACGCGCAACCCCCCAACCCCACATCCTCTTCCCCACTCCATACACAGGATCCCCACCGCGCCTGCCGCCTTGCTGGACCGTCTCGATGCCCTGATGACGGCCGTCGGCTACTGCCGTGGGGGCGACATGTGCTCCAACCCCTACCAGCTGCTACACCCCGACGGCTCTGTCAACAGCTTCGAGGAGGCCATGGACCCCCAGTACGACGGCCTGTACGCCTCACTGCGAAAGTTCGCATTCGGCCGCTGCTCCACGGGGTACTTCCCCAACACGGAAAGCAGCTGGCTATTGGGTGATGCCAAGCCATCGCCGCCGCCGCGAAAGAAGGGCCAAGGCAACTGAGCTACATGGGGCGGTCTTGATCTTGGTTAGGCAGGGCTAGGTGGCGGAGCTGCGCGCTGCGGATGATGGGCCATGGGCGATATTGAGGGCGTGCGGGAGCTTCGCTTTACAAAAGTGTCGTGCTCGAGTAGTCCCTTTCTGCGTCGCGTAGCGCCAGGTGCCAGGCGGCCGTTTAAAAAAAACTACACGCCCCGGAGCCAACGGCAGCAGCAGCAGCTTGCAATTGCATTCTTCTTCCTGCGTGCGACCATGCGGGCGTGTGTGAACTGATGGGGTGTGTGTGGCGGAAATACTGTATGCCAGGTGATGATGAAAAGAAGCGCATGGCGTGGCGTTCTTAGCACATTCCCTAATATTGAGAACTATAGGACCAAGTGCGCTAATGCAATTAATTGTGGTGGTTTCTTCTTTCGGGTTTAGCCGCGCGTTAGTCGTAGCCGGTTTGTTTTTAGTGTCCAAAAAGGCTTCCGAGTGGGGTTAGGGGGCTTGGAATTGACGTTGTGGGTTACCTCGACAAAGAAGAAGTAGAAGGGCCCGTGACTCGATGCCGCTGTACCGAACTGAGCACCGCAGGTGACGCAGAAAGCCAAGGGGAAGAGAGAGTTTCGTTAGGCTGTATCGGGTTGCAGGTCAGTCGATGCTGAGTCAATTAGCATGAGCTTTGAGTGGTTTTGGCGAACATGGGTGGAGCATAGGAGCAGCGCCAAAGCGCTGAGCGGGCGCTGCGGGGAGAGCGGCACGTGGGGAACTGGGGGCAGGAGCAACGATGCCCCCTGCAGTTGGCTCTTAGCCGAGGCATGTACTGTTGCATCGTGCGGTGCTGCCGTCCGTAGTAGTGCGTTGGAGCTTACGAAGGGATAAGGAAAAGCCCACCACCACCACCGTCTAGCATTGACGTCTAGGCTTAAGGACGGATGAATCGGATGCTTATCCGTGGCCGTTTGACCTTACGGGCGCTGATTGACTGACTAGACACACCGACATGTCGCCTCACACAGACAGATAGGTCATTCTTCGGAGGCGTGCACTGCAATGTGCAACAGCTTCAGCACTAGTTCTGTTGTGGTCCAGTTTGTGTTGACATAAGTATGGCCGCGTTTGGTTGCATCCTGTCGGCGAATATGTGCATGGTGATGAGGGTGGAGTGGAGTAGCTGAAGGTGAACTGAGCGAATGCAAGGGAAAGGACGAGGGCACGGTTGCCAAGGAGCTGCCCCGGAAGAGCCGCGAACCCAGGGTCCTAATCATTTATCCGGGTTCCGTTTAGCCAATAGGCTTTCGTTAAGAGGGCGTGTCCACACGTTGTGCGCCAGATTTGGCTCCGTTGACTCCCATAGTGCCGCTAGTTGCGCATGTAATACTACATGACGATGACACATTTTGCAAGTGTACCCCAAACCGCAGTGTTCGAAAAGGCACAGCCGTGAAAGGTAATCCAGCACTTGACACGTCCAAGCCCCACACAGCTCCATTCAGACAGGTAGAGACGCCACACCACATCCAATGAGCTAGATGGCTGTCTTTATACTTCACAAACTGTAGCACTCTAGCCGTTGGTAGTGCCAATTCTGCCCCACACCTTGGCTTTGGTCTAGGCAGCTGTCTGTCCCAAGAGGCAGCGAAAAAACAGCCATAACATCGGCTAAAGCATCGTGTCCACTGCTACTCTTATACCCAATACACCCACCGACATTTCGTTTAGTGTAAACCCCCGAAAAGGATTGGCGCCCACTCACCCCCCCAAGCTGTTAACACGTGAACATATCGAATGTAAAAAAGGATATGCTGTTAGTGGTCCCACGCGCAAATCACCACTTTACGGGCACCTGGTTGGCCCGATGTCTTCGCACCCTTCCCGTTTTACCACCTGGGGCCGTCAGGGTCCGGCTTGATGCGGACTCCAATCACGCCACCCATGGGCCATACTACACCCTGCATGGCACCCTTGGGAACATCGGGATCGGGCTTAATCCTGAAACCCGCAAACGCAGGGTTCGCATTCTCCTGTACGCGCGAGCCCGCAGGCACTGCAGAAGGGGCGGTGTTACTAGTGGTGCATGACGGCCCTGGCGACCAGGCCATTGCGTCCGCGGGAGGCCGCTCATTCAGGTTCCTCACGAAAGCCAGGGGCAACGGCGTGATGGCCATGGGTGTGCCAGACACGCTGCTGGAAGGAGCGGGTGCGGCATGTTCTCTATTTAACTCGACGCTGATGTCGCCAAGCGGTGTTGCCGGGTTACCTTCCGTGCTATCCTCGTTCCACTCCATTTCGGCGTCTGTGAAAGCACCTTCGTCATCTCCGTTTTCTTCGTCGTCCTCTGCATGCTCATCGAGTTCGTCCTCGGCCCTTGGTGTGATGGGTTCATCGTTGTTGGCTTTGGGCCCTGTGTGTGCATGCGTCGCCCCCTCTCGTGGTTCCAAACCATCTCCCTCGTCATCGCAATTTCCATTGTCCTCCTCCTCATCAACCCCCTCGGTGTACTCTCCCGCTGAGGCCATATCCTCATCATCGCCACCAGCGTCGTCATCCCCGCCGCTCGTGGACGCAATAACATGGCCGGCACCCTCGGTCATACCGTCGTCACCTCTGCGGTTGAAGTCTTCACCTACCCCGCTAACCAGCGCATCGCTGACTGTGTCACCTGTATCCGCCAGTGCTGTCCCAAGGTTCTGCTGCATCCCATCACCGGCACCCGCAAGCTCGTCTGCCATCTTATCGCCGCCCTGCGCCTCACCAGTGGTGTCACCCTGCTGCGCAGCCTGCTGTGTTGCGCCATCTTGGTTAGAGCTGTGGGTTGCAGCTTCAGCCGCGGCTGCAGCCTTAGCGGCTGCTGCGTCCTTGGCAGCCTTAGCAGCCTTGGCGGCCTCTGCTGCCGCAGCGGCCTGCTGCATCTGCTCCTCCCGGAGCGACATGTGTGCCTCCATCAAGCGGGCCTCGTACTCTGCGACCTCTTGTTTGAACTCCGCCGTGCGGTTGCCACGGCGTGCGTGCTCTGCAATGCCCTGCATGTTGTGCGCGCCATAAAGGGATTACAACACAGAGGACCTTGCGGAGCGAAGAAAGACTCCTTTTCCTTACGCAATGCAGAGATCGGGCATTACAAGAGCATGCGACATGTAAGCTGGGTGCATACCAGGTTGCGGCTCTTGGGCTGCGGGTGCACTCGAGTGCGTGGCATTGGAGGAGCCAATGCGTGCGCCAAGTCCAATCTGTGCACGAGTGCTTGCTGCCTGTTATCAGGCTTGAACCGACCTGCAAGTGCTCAGCGAGGATCGGGGCCAGACTAGTACCACCACGCACCTTGAACACCTGGTACACGTGCTCGTCGCCCAGAGCGTGCTTGTAACACCGCAGGGACTCCATGTACGTGTGCAGTCCCTTCTCGCTGTAAGGGATGAGCGCGATGCAGTCAGCTAGGAAGCGCCATTCACGGACCACTGCATCGTAAGAGTTGCCGCTGCTGCTGGTGGGGCCAGCGACGGCGCCGATGCCTCCGGATGGGGCAGTATCCCCTGCCTCCGCTGACATGGCGGGAGCCTGGGCACTAGTTGCGAACTCGCATACGACGTTCTGAAACCGCTCGCAGAGGCGCTCCTTAAGCTTATCTGCTAGCTTGTCCGCCTTGACGTAGCCTAACAATCGCTGTATGTCAGCAGGTAGGGGTTGGATTTGTAATCATTGTCATTTGCGGTGCAACCTTGCAAAGGACAGAAGATCGATGTACAGGCTCTGCCCGCATAACCGCGTGCAACAGCACAGTCCCCCATCAACCCGGCATGTGACGTACCTGCATCATTGTCCTGAAGTCCTCCTCCGTTATGGGGTCGCCGCGGGTCAACGAAGAGATGATGTCAGCCAAGTTCTTAAACACGTCGTTCTGGCCGCCCTTAGCCTGTAATTGGCGGCCGCAATTTCGGGAGCTTTGTTAGGGTGCGTTGCCGATTCTCCGACCTGGACGTGAGAGGACAGCTGGGACTTGCCAAGCAGGTGCAGCTGGACACAGAACTGGGCGGACACAGAATATCTGCTGTGATGAAGCGGCCAGGTCCGCTCGTGGATTCGGAATGAACTTATTCTTCGCCCTACCTGCTTCTTTGACATCGAGTTGAAGAGGCGGATGGTAAGATCACGCAAGGCTGGGTTGGGAGCCACAAGGCAGCGGGCCACGTGGGGCATGTGGCCCCTGGATTTGGTCATTCCGCTCAGGATCAAGTGCGCCAGGATGCACAAGCAGGTCTTGGCGACCTCTGAGGACAGCAACGGGCGAGGGGCGGGATGAGCGAAAAGGATGGAGGTTCAAGCGAGTGCCAGCTTCACACGTACAGCAGTGATTCCTAGGCTGCTTTTCCTCCATGATCCATGCACAGAAACACTCGGCAGCCTGTCTATTTTAGCATAGGATTTGCCAACTCAATACAGTTTTATACGACGGCTGGACTGCCACACCACATTCCCACCCCCACCTTCGTTTTCATCTTTCAGGCACATGAAGATGCGCTCCGTCCACGGCTCCACGACGTTCGGGTGCCGTCGGACCAGGTCACCCAGCGCTACCAGCATGCCGCAGCGCACCTCGGGCGCGAGCTTGACGTTCCTGTGAGGAAAGATCGAGCCAACACACGCCATGCGCAACAACGACGAAGCTCACTATGGGCTGTGAAGCCAGCAACCAGGGCATCAGGCCACCCCCGCCCGCGGGTCTTTAAGCCGGCTCATCAATTTATACATGAAGGAATTCAGCAGAGTTTTGGAAGGATCGTCAATGCGGGGGCGCAGTCCACACTGTATGCGCCGAATATTTGGTCGCACGTTGAATTAGCCTTGCAAGTCTCTCCCCAAAGTGGCTCGTGTCTGCTGCATTCGTGTCTGCTGCAATCTTTTCGCGTACCCGCCCGAGAGCCGAGTGAAAAAGACTGGGCAGTTATCCTCGCAGTAGGTCACGCTCAGCGCCATGAATTTGGCTAGCGTTGTCATGGCCGCAGACGCCAGGTCAGGGTGCAGGGCCAGAAGCGAGGGGTTGTGGCACAGCTCCGACACCAGTTTGCCCCACATGTTGATGAGGCCATCCCCCATAAGCCTGGCCGCTAGGTCATCATGCAGTGCGTCGAGCTGGGCATCCTGTATGTGGATCAAAGGCATGGCCACACGTAACAAGTCAAATAAAGGCCTGGTTGCGCTCGGGCAACGCGGGACATTGGTAGATGGAGGCTGCTGGCCTTGAGCTGCAGGAGCTATATTTTTGTACTAGAGTGCTATGAGCATCCCCGACGTTAATTGTTAAGTGCAAGGGCAATCTAGGCTGGTTATGGCGGCTTTTGTGCGAAGCACGCGGGGGCCATGGCCTCCCGTCCCCGGAAACCAAACGGACACTGTAACGCTGTGTGCGCCATGATAAGCGACATAACCTTAAAAAAACTAGGTTGGTTAAGCTGGCGTGTGTTCACCGCAAAGCTGGGGTGGGGTCCTCCTCACCCTTGCTTGCCCGGTGCCCAGCTGCGCGTCCATGTCGTTTGCAGAGGCCTGCTCTGCCGCTTTCTTCTCCTGAGCGGCACGTTCCTCCCTCACGCGCTTGGTTAGCGTGTCTAGCAAGGCCTGCCATGCGGAGTATAAGGTGGCGGTAAGCAGAGGAACCAGAGTCGGGGAACCGCTAGTCGAGCGGGGCGTGTTGGTGCGGAACGGCGTACATGCGGACGGACTTGCTACCCCACCGGTGTCCGCTTTTTACATAGGAAATTCGATGTTGTGTATGAAAAGATTAAGTACAGCAACCAAACTTCAGCATTCAGTATGGAGCCCTGAACGTTAAGCGGATTGCATGTACCGTTTGGAAGAGGTAGACACATACCCCCATGCAAGTAAGCACGTCATCTACAGCAAGACTCAGGGGACGCAAACGCACATCCTGTCCAGCTGTTGCGCATGTGGAGCGTCTGCAAATAGTACCTGTCAACTCGAACCCTAGGCCTGCAGTCAACGTCCGCCCACACACCAAGATATCCATACATCCACCCACCCACCCACCAGCTGCTGTGTGGCAATGCAGCCCACAAGGTAAACGGCACGCGCTATCTGCGTCGCCGATGCGCGCCCGCCCACAAGCTCCGCGGCGAGGTGCTGCACGAGCGGCCAGAGAAGCGTGTGCGGCTCCGGGTGCAGCTGATAGATCGCCGCCGTGGCGGCCTGCGCGGCGGGCGGCCACGCGCTGCCGTGCTGCGGCAGATGGCCGCTGACCAGAATGCTGACCAAGTTGGCTAGGGCGTTGGGGATGTGGTTGGCTGGCTGGTACTTGCTTCCGCAGGCCAAGCCGCCCTTAGGCGCAGCGTGTAGAGCACCAGCGATGTCTCGCAGTATGAGCGCCAGGTTGCGCACAAGAAGCGGGTCCTGGTTGGGGTAGCGCCAAAGGGAGACGTGTATTGAAAGCAAAGGCAGACGCAGTGACCGAAGAACGAGCGATATCCGAAGACCACCTACATGCATGCGACAGCACTGGACTTTGCTACGAAACAGGCTGCCAGACCCGGCAGGGATTGACGGGCATGCAGGACGTGCCAATGACAATGGCGCAACTGGGACAGGAGTAATCAGACAAGTCAGCTGCACAAACCTTGAGGATCGTGTGGCTTCGTTTGAGGTGGAGGATGAGGTTCTCCACGTCATGCACCACCAGCTCAGGCGCATGGCGCGCAACCATGCCGCACAGCAGGCTTAGCCGACCGGCCATGATCCGTGATTGCCGTGCCTATCCACGAAGAGGTGGGTGGCGAAACCATTGCTGTTAACTAGCGAAGCAGAACAGCAAGGAAACCAATTAATTAACCTTCTCACGGCATCTTCAGTACTCAACTTCCTTAGCATGATGGCAGGGACAAATTCTGATTCCTGTTCGGGTTGCAATGAGCGCAGGCTCACCTCCACGCAGGCGCAGGGTACACCGATGCACGCCGACATACATAGGGACGCAGGACGCGGATGAAGCCTACCTCCTTAGCAGCACTGACGCCCTCGCGCTCGAGCAGGGTTGCTTGGATGATAGCGGCCTTCATATTTCTGAGCGATTGAGATCCGCCAGGACCACGTCAAGCGTCAAGCACGCTAGCTTGGGACAACAAAACAGATAGAAGTAACGGTACAGCAGCGCACAACACCCTGACGTCCGTCCTAAATCAGGAAGCATGGTGCAAGCATTGGTTTACTCACTCGAGCATGATCCGCACGATGTCCGGCCCAAACACGGGGCTCTGACCGGGTGCAATGCCTGTTATCGCCAGCCGCATGAGCTCCTCAAGAGCTTCCTGATCGCACAGCGCCAGGTTATCCACCATCTGGGTCAGCTTCAAGACTATGCAGGCATTCTGCTGCTTCTGCGTACTCGCGCCTGGCACGGGAACGCAACCTTTATTGTTGTTGCTATTATAGGAACAAAAAGCCAAAGAGAACAAGGAGAGAAGGTTTGCAGCGATCATTTTGCTGCATTCTTATTTATTGTGCCCTGGTTCCGGTAACAGAGGTGATAATGCAGGCCATGGGGCAGGCAAGGGGCACCTGAAAGCGTATGACCTTCCATCCGACAAGTAATCCCCGTCCATGATGCGGCGATTGTTTGATGCCTTTGATCGGACTGCTTGCTTTACCTTCACAGCCACATGCTCACCTGCGATACTCGCCGGCAGGAGAAAGTTACAGAAGGCATCCAAAACCGTTTCGCGGACCTTCTCGGACGTGGAAAATACGAGGTGCCACACACGCCGCCAGGAATCAGCGACCCCCTGCAGCTGCTTCTGTAGTTGCATATGGAAGGCGGGTAGTTTAGACGGCGACGTGTGTTTTTCAGCGCAGACAAACATGGAGCTGTGTTGGGCCACTCAACTCGGGGAAGGCGCGAATATGACTTGATTTCGAATGCCTGCTTTTTTGACCTCAAAATATGCATCACCGCAATTTGCCCGGCGTTGAATATCTGCGGTTGAACGCCTTGCCCTAGTCGTTTTTGGCAACAATCATGCCCTGTAGCCGCCCCCGGGGCCCCAATGAACACCCCAAGAGCCATCTGCGCGCACGCTGCCGCACCTGGCTGCATAAGGTGAGCAGCTGGATGGCCTTCTCAGCAACATCAGCACTGTCCGAAGTAAGCAGAGCTTCCACCTCAGGCAGGGCCGCCGCCAGCGCCCTTGATAGTTCAAGCAGCTCCTTCAGCGTTGCAATCAGGAGTCGCACCTGCGAGTACGTCATGTTCCCGCGTGCGCCAGCGCCGCCATTGTTGTTGTCATGTGGGTCTGGCTGCGGCGGTGGACCACTACCTGCAACGGTGAGGGCCAAGGGATGCAATCTGCCATGGCGTCCAGAAAAACGCGAGGCGCTAGGTGCCCAGCAACAACCGATCAAACCGGTTGATGGCTCCCCCTCTGCTGGAGTCGGTAGCCCAACTTGATGTTACCGTCTGCGTTACGTGTCCCTTCTCACAGCGCAGCTGCGCATGGCCCACAACGTTCGCAACAAACCGCCTTGGCCAGCAAAGCAGGGAACCATTCAACAGGAATGGGTGGTCCTCAAAAACGTACTACTATTGACTAAAGATGGTTGAATTACTTCAATTCAAGCTGTGTACATCCCAGCAGATGACCTTACTGACCTTGCGCTTGCTACAACATTTGCTCTTTACAACTTGCGGTGGGACTACAGTACTTTCTCTTGACGACTTGAATTGTAGCTTGGCTCGCCGTGCTGCTGCTGCTGCTCGATATAGGATTTGGGAAACAGAGCAAACTACAACTTTACCAGCGAAAAGAAAATAAGCAGCGCCGCCGCCGCAGAGGGCCGAACGTTACCCACCTGCGCCATCGTCGAGTTGCGTGGGCATGATGATGTCTTGCTGGCCGTCAGGACCAGCAGCTTGCGTCTCGCCACCTCCTAAGGCACCCGCTTCCCAATGCGGGTCGCTATCCTGCGCATCCTCCTGTCCATCTTCCACAACGTCCGGCTGCATGCCCTACAAAACGCAACTTAGCGCGAAGTTGGCTGCTAACGCAGTGGTGGACAAGGGTAACTCGTCGCATATCGGTATCGGCGAAGCCCACTCCCAGCACGCCCCGCGCTTACCTTCAGATCTTCCTCAAAACGGTTAAGGCTGCCAACTAGGAAGGCGTCTGTTAGCTGTGTCTTCGCCGTGATATGCACGAGCTTGCAGAGCAGGCCGAGGGCGGCGCCCGCAGCCAGGGCACCATCATCCAGCCTGGCCACGGCTGACTTAGCCGCTAGCACAACGTATTCTATGGGCCAGCAGTTGCGCTCGGCCAGGGCCTCGATAGTATTCAATGCCGTCTTCCTGCACTTCCACAGGCACAGGAAAGTCATCGATCGACAAGCCATGTTGGTGGTAGACAAGGTTTCGGTGCGTCAAGGGTTGTTCGGCGCGCTGGCAGTGTAGACAGCGTCTGACGGGCTGAGTGCGACAAAGCAGAGGGCGTGTTAACGCCTCGTGCTGGCAGAGAACATGAGTTGCTGTGCCGGATTTTCAGGCTTGTCACGTTTGGCATTCCGAGAGTTAGTGTCCTCCAATGTCGGGGAAGCCTGCACGAATACATCCGAATATGCAGGTTCCGTTCCCCCCCACCTCTCCCCCAACATGTTCAGGGTCGCTATTGATGACTGTACAGCATTATTGGCCTCCTGCCTGGGCAGCTTGGGTTCGCGGCTGTAACGATACGCCGTCGGTTGGTAAGCAGAAGCCAAATCCATGCCTACTGCCAACTGCTGAGTGTCCTCACCTGACTAACGCGTGCATGTCATTCACACGCGCCACCAGATTTTGTGCGACGTTCTGCCGACTCATCTGCAGCGGGCGGCTGCCTTTCTCGTTCATGCCACACGCCATATATGACTTCATCAAGTGGCCCATGCATTCCACGAGGTTGCTACGGATTGTGACGGCCGTCCTGCACGCAGTACACGATGCGGTGGTGTCTCAGGAAATAGTGAAGATTCTGTCGTATGAAGCCAGTCCTCCGTGCCTTGAAACCAGGCGGCTTATGATATGCCCTCCCGCCTTCAGGGAAGTTACTTGTCTGGCGCTCCCTTGCCGTGTTCAAATTCCCTGGCGCACCCATGTCCCTGGGCGGAATTCACACGCCCCTTAAGGCCACTATTAATACTGGTAACGAAATAAAAAGTAACATGCGCTAAGCTCGCTCGGAGGAAACAGCGCAATGAAGATGGCCAACATATTTAAACACGCTGATTGCACGGGTATCCAGTGCGGAACTAAGCTCTTTCCTTGGGCTCTTGTGCAAAACGTCTGTCCCGCAAATAACAGCAGCCTTACTTGCAACCAAAGTAGGGCATCAGCTGGCCGATGCTGGCGTGCAAGACGTCTGACAGAGCGGCGGCCATGCCGCTGAGCATCTCGGCTGCTCTCTTGACCGGCTTGGTATCATGCGATGCCATTTCGTCGTATCCTTCGGGCTCCACCTCACAGAATTTCATCACCAGCTTTTTGCCCTAAAGCAAGGCACACAGAAATGGTGGAGACAGGACACCTTTTAGGGTTCGGACTTGCGTTCATCTCCCGTCAGGGCAGCTGCACATCCAAGTAAGATCTCCATGCGGCACAATTAATAAAACATATGTGTGTGTTACATGGTTGGGGGTTGCGTGACCCCATACCTGTAAAACTACCCATACGAGCCGAAGGCCCAACGGCAATACCACAACGCCTAAAAGCCACGGAGAAAAGGAAACACCGCACATCAGCCCAGACTAGCGTCCAAAGGGGGTAACTGAGTTTCGGTGAGTTTCGCTGAGTTTCGGTGAATAAAACATATAACCCCTTGCTGTCTCAAACCATTGCTGCTGTGGTTCCGCTTCCCAGTGGCGTTTGTATTTAGTAATTCGCAGGGCACGCCGCTTCCTAACCTGGCGTTTGTACGTTTTCAACGCTGCCATTGGTAACGAATGGCATTATGTATCACTTGTGACGCGTAACCGGATTGATTCCAGCTGTAATGTTGACAGACAGCCTCTCGCGCAGCCAGGCCTACTCGGGCCTACTATAGAATACAACCCTTCCTTTCGCTTGGTCCTCTAAGCACACACTTGGCATTGAGGTACTAAATGGCCAGTGCTGCTGTGGCGATCATCGCTTCCGTATTGTGTCATCCCATTTCCCATAACACACACGACCAGAGACCCAGAGGGGGACTCACCAAGGAGAGGCTGTCGTGCTGGCTAGCAGCGAGGGCAGCAGCCTGGACGGCAAGGTCAGGACCGTGATCGTGCTCCTTGACCAACCGGAACAACGCCTCCCCCACGAGGTCAAGGCAACCGTTGGCGTTGGCATGACGTGTTGCGGACAAAACCACCACATCCAGACACGCCGCCAGGGTGGCCTTCTGCTTGGTACTCGCGGTTTGCTTGGTAATTGAACTGTCCTCCAGGCAGCGTGCGGCCTGTGGATGAACGGGGTGCCATCCTATCAGAGCAGACAGGATCGGTGGCATTTTAAGAGACACTGCAGGCCTATCACCGCCAGCGCAATGCCACCTCTACACAGGTCATCAATGCGCCGGAACCAATATTCTAATCCACGTTAGACGTAGGGTAGCTCAGAGTATGAGACATGATTCGACAGGCGCCAATTCTGCCAGATGGCTCCAAGCAGGAGCCCTTACGCGGGAGTTTTAGGTTCGCAAGCAAGGCAAGGTACCGTAGGAGCTACGACTGCCGTCGTGGACGCCATTCAGGCTTATTTATCCCCCACACAGAAAAAAAAACATAGGACAATATAATATTCCCTGCGTCCCAGATCACAGGAAAGGTCATCTATGCCGGAGGCATGCTGCCAGGCCTACTCCACGCCAATCCCAGTTGTCCCTCCTTACCGTCAGAACGCAAACCTCAGCAAGCCGGCACTTATCCGCTGGTGAGCGGTACAGGATCTCGTCCAAGTTCGCTTTTAACGTGCGACCCAGCGCCCTCATGATTCGCTCCATAATCGCAGGCCAGTCGACAGCGCTTTCATTTCCAGGGTCCTCCTGTACAGCTTTTTTGGCCTTCCCTCCACGCTTTTTGGGCGCGGCCCCTGGACACGGAGAAGCGGCCGCGATATAAGTCGTAAAGCGGTGGAAAGCTGTGGCAGACTTTACGCGGCCAGCCTAAGCAGCGGGTTATTACATACCTGCCATGCGCCCCGCCCCAGCCCCTCTGCACTAGTGCCTACAGAGGCATCGACCTTTGAAAGTTTGTATCGGCAGTCGGGTTGGTAATGCACCATTTGCCGTGCACGCGACTGAAATTTCAACCCATAACGGCCATGGCTGACAGTTTCATGTTGGCTACATGCCGCTGTCACTTTTCTAAGTTTCATCTTTTTGTTCTCCGGCCTACAGCCCGCTAGTACTCTCCACCGTTGGACCACGTGAGTTTGGTCTGACAGCACGGCCTTCTGTGCTTGGGAACGCACCCTTAGCGCTCGCCTCTGCCTTCTGGCTGTCCAGCAATCGGTTGTGAAGGTATTCATGAATGACGCTGAGGAAATAAGCATAGGCGTGTACGGCGTTCCGGTGAGACGCCACCACGGTTTCGCCCTTGTCACCCCCATCGGCTGAAAGCTCCTCCAGGCCGCTGGTAACAAGCACGCTCAGGTTGTGAGATATTCCCGTTGTAAATTTTGTCAAACGGCCCGCATCCAGGAGATCCAGGCTCCTGCATGTCATTTGGACCACAGGGTGGGGGAAAACACAGGATACGCAGCGTGCCAGGACTCCCAGTCCCGGTGCAGTCCGGCGGCCCCGCAGATGGCACCAGCGAGGCTGGCACTCAGCTTGCAGATACCTGACGACGGTGTAGACAGAATTGAACGTCTCCTGTCTAAGGATACTCAGCGGTCCACTTGAAAGCGCAGACGAGCAATCTGTTCGTAAGATAACCACGCCTTAGCTAAAGTTACATCCTCCATCGCAAAACTTGTACATAATTACCCTCGTATGCATCATCAATATCGCCAGGCTCTACACTTTCGAAGTCGGGAACGTTGGAAGCGACGAGGTCAGTATCACGTCCCCGTTCTAAGTCCCGGAGCTTCCGTGGGAAGTTAAATGTCTGCATCTCGTGGTGGTCGATGAAAGCTACTTACGCGATGCCAAGAAGGTTGTTTCCGCCCAAGAAAGAGGCATGGCAATCGCGGTCAAACGCTTCTGTAGGGTTTTGGTAGTTGCTATGTGCAAAAGAAATATCCATGCCTTCGTGGCCCTTACCTAGCTGTAAGGAGGTGCTCGCTTCGATGAAAGCTGTCTCAGTTGGATCTTATCGTACTGCAGCCTCGGAAAATGGCTGCCCTTGCCTGTAATTTGAGATCCTGTATTACTACAGGAAAAATTTGCTATACGCTACAATCCACTTATCCGTAAGCTTTAACAAGCCCTCTCTGCGTGCACGACCATATACAAGGAATATTTCTGATGTAAACATTAAAATCGTTAGTAAGGTTGATGTGCGAGATGCACTATGTGGCTAGTTATTAAAGGCTGACGTACAACGGTTTCACAGGCATAATGCCAGGAGACCATCGCGAAGGCAGTGGCAACGCTGCCCAGGCGCCAGCTTCCGCGCGCAGTTTCCGCGCGAAAGATGTGGAAACTGCTGCGGAAGCGGGCAATGAGGGTTTCGCAGATGTCTTTTCAGGGCCCGACATGGCCGGAATGGGAATAAAGATACAAGCGATTGGTGAGGAATTATTGTAAATTTTTTGAGTTTCATCATGCTTACATGCAGGAAGTCTGTTGTGACGACATGTAAGTTGCGCATCTGCATGTGCAGAGTCGCTGGCTGAGCCCACACGGAGATTCCTGCACATCAACATCTTGGGGAAGCCCTTACCGACCTGGATGATATGGGACAAGCAGCCTAAGCTTAACAGGTTGTCCACGGCCAACGACCCTAGTGGCCTTGCGCACCCTAGGCTGGGCCCTAGGCCAGGCATGCTTGCGAGACGGTCTGCACGTCATGTCACCTCGCTCGGGACCAGACCCGCTTTGCCTCGGCAAAGTTATCATAACTGATGATTGACTGGCTCAGGGACACAGTTTTAGGAAGGCTCCAGTCCCCAGAGAGGTCACCATCCGTATTTGAAGCCACCATTTATGGACTGCTGCACTCTCTGATGCCTTTTTCCCAACGAGTATATCCCCTTGGGGCAGCTTGCGGGACGCAGGCCCGTCTAACCGCACGCAACCATCGACACAACAACCATGGACCAGTATTGCGCTTTTCCCCTCATCTCCCACTTCCTGAAACCATACACTCGCCCCGCCGTTTCGTAGATTCAACTACTTGATGTCTCGACTGCACACGTTCATGACTGATGCTAACAGCAGCGTGTATGCAGCGGCGGTCTCGCAGTTCATGGTGGCTTCCATCATTATCTCTGTCCTGAGGTGCGTGCTTGGGCGCTGCATGCCTGGAAGGGTAAATTATGCCAGTGTGTGCCAGAGCGGACGTGCTGGGCGCGCTGCGGGCCATCCTTTCCCCTCAGCTCATTGGCATGTCAGCAAAGACTAACAGAGGCCATCGTCGCAAGCACGTGGCCCACATGGGTAAGCAGCAACGCTTCACACCGCGCAGTGACAGGGCGGCAACTCTTACGGACGGCGCCATCCTCGGTTCAACCCAACATTTTACTTACATCACGGCAACTTTTTGGTCTGTGTTGATGTTGTTACAGGGTGGTTATGTGTTATGTTGTTTCACGTCCAGAAACGGCACCAGTGCGGGTTTTCACCTGCAGCGCACCTCTCCAGCAGAGCACTGGCCACATTCCATTTGGCTTCACACCTCCACTTCACGTTTCCTTGCTTAGCTTGCCATAGCTTGCACATAGCTTTTCTTTGACAGCGCACCTTGCCTCTCACTTGGCGCTCACAATCCGACATCCTGCCTCCGTTGCAGCTTCTGCTTGGAGACCATTCCGAGCTTCCAGTCGCACCGTGCGCCTGTGGCGGCACGCGTCTTCACCTGGGTGGAGGCCGTCACCATCCAGATCTTCGCATTGGACTACCTGCTGCGGTGAGAGGATGTGGGGACGATGCGAAGGACGCGGTATTCCGCGGAGATGCGTTCATCACTCCGCCTTGGTACAGGACAGGAATCGGGCTGTAGACACACATCGTAACCATTTTTTTCCTTCCAGAACTCCGGGCATCCATGCCCGTCCCCGCGGACATGCCCCATATGGCCATTCCACGTGCCTACTACGCCACGCCTGCGTGAGCTTAAGCATCGTCCGTCGGCTGTAGGACACGCACATGAACACAAACTGCTCAATGTGCACCGTGCCGTAGCGTGGCGCGCCCGATTAGCAGCACTATCCCCCAGCTTGACTGTGCTCTGGGAGGACCAAAGCACTCGTGCACACAGCCCAAACGTGCCGTATACCGGTGCAGCTTTCAATACGTGCCGCGCTGCTGGCCTCCTCGATCACACGCCCCAAAGCAGCTCTCCATCCTAACACCGCCCTAATCCAAACATTAATCATTTCCCATACCACGGCCTTTGTAAACACAGGTTTATTTCCGCCCCTGTAAAGCTCAAGTTCACGGTGGACCCTTTCAACATCATCGACTTGATCGCTATTGTGCCTTGGTACATCATCACCTGGGTGGGCACCGACTTCAACGGCACCACCGTGTTCCGGGTGGTGCGGCTTCTGCGTGTCTTCCGGGTGCTCAAACTTGGGGGCAGGTGGGTTGAGTCGCCGCCGGACAGCGGCCGTTTCCCGGACCAACCATAGCTGATGGATGGATGGATGAGTTTTGAGTGGGCCCAAAGGACCACACCCTATCGCCTTTGGCCCCGATATTCTCTTGACGCTCAGCGCTTCCGTGATTCGTTACCTTCCATGGCAGTCCTCCGTCCTCGTCTCTGAACACGCTTCATACCCTTCTCTTCGCCTTTCTTCCGACTGCCAAAAACGTATGCAAACGAAAGGTACTCGAAGCTGCTCGTGGTGCTTCACTCGCTGCGCAAGTCTCTCGACATGCTGGGCCTTATGGCTTTTTTCATCTCGCTTTGCATCGTCTTCTTCGCCACGCTCATGTACTACGCGGAGCGCGGCAGCTACGACGAGCAACTGGGTGAGCTTTCGGAACTGGATGTTTGGGTGCCCATGCGGTCGCGGGCCGCGGCCCTTGGGAATCGCGGGGCTGGGGCAGGTGGGGGAAGGGTGCGGGCTCAATGGTGTGGTAGAAGCCCCTGCAACTGGCAAATGTCGGCGGCGTATGCAGCGCTTATGGCTTATGCCTGCGCCGATTCACACGTGCACACCTGTGTGTGTTTCGGGAAGCCCCTAATGAACCGTTCCCGACTGCCGACTGCACCTCTCACCGCCCTGCATGTATGCGCGGTGCAGGCTACTACGTGCGGCCCTATGAAGTCCAGATGATCGATTACGGCGTGCCCAAGCCCAGTCCCTTCGAATCCATCGTGTCGGGCTTCTGGTGGGCCATTGTAACCATCATGACGGTCGGCTACGGCGACACGTTTCCCGTCACGGCGGGCGGCAAGGCCATCGCGTGCGTCACGATGATCTGCGGTGAGCATTTGCGGCGCCCGTGTGCCCCGGTCTGTGTTGATCGGACTCGCGGTGCGTAGCCTGCCCGCAGATGACCGTAGCCCTCTGTAGCGGTGTTCGTTGAAGTCTGCGGTCGTGCAGACTGCACGGCGGGTGCGCGTGTGTGCGTGGCCTTAGGGTGAACTGCCGTAAGAGGACTTTCAGCAGGCAGGCACATGGGAAATGAGTTGCGGCAGGTGCGGAATGCAAGGGGTAAAAGGACAGGGCTGGATGAAGCTGGCCGCCGTTTACTACCCTGGACGGGACTGGATGGGACGGAACCGCAACGAACGGCTACCTAAGGCGATACAAATGCTGCAGCTGAAGATATATGTGTGTTGTGTGTGTGTTGTATGTGTGTGAGTGTGTGTGTAACACCTTCTGGAGTTGCGTTACTCTCCAAAGGCATGACGGGCCCATACGAGCCCCGCTGAGGTGGTCCATTGGCAAGCCGAAGGCTGTCCGAAAGAGATAGATCTTGATAGGACATCTTCTCCCCCACCCTTGCTCATCTGCCGGTGCCGGGCCCCTGTCGTTCGGTAACCAGGCATCCTCACCCTAGCGCTGCCCATCAGCGTTATTGGAGCCACGTTTACCAACGACTGGGAAGCGCACGTCGTGGAAGAAAAACGCCGGATTACAACCAACAAAAAGATCACAATCACCGCATCGCCGTTGCTGCTCCAGCTACAGGTAAAATTACAGCGCAATGAATGGATCGTTGTGATTCAGTATCGACTTGCGGTCACACGGGATGTCAGCAGTCTGTAGTCTGTAGTCGTAGGCACCAGGTCTCCCCACTTGAACTCTCCTTTCCTGCGTCCGCCCTTTGTGACGCCTGTGCAGATGCGCTCAGGTCTGTCTTGTCTGCACCCCGGAGGGTCCATTGAGTCTAGTACTTGCGACAGCCCAGTGGCATGCTTAAGACCGCATTGTCGCAGACCGCCTTCCCAACCCAGGCCCCCCTTCCACACTCCTTCCTCGAGGCCACCTCTGATGCCGTCCGCTGCGCCACCTCATTATATTACCCTTCCGCTCTGGCTCCGCTCTGCTATCCATGCCTTCCACACCTATCGGTTGCGCCTGTGGCCCGCAGCGCCTGTTGAATCGACACCTGGAGGACGCGGAGACGCTCATCATGCTCAACCGAAATTCGGAGGTGGCACTGGAGGAGGCAAGCTCAGAGCTGCACCACACACTCAAGAGTACCAAAAAGCACCTGCACACTGAAGCCAAGGCGGTAAGCGGTGGGGGATGGCGTCAGGGTCTGTCTGCCCGGAAGGCTTTTGGTAAAATTGCGGAGTCGGATGACAGCCTATGAGGCTGGGGAGGCGCGGGACGGCCTAAAGCTTTAAGACGGTGGTCCTGCACGGGGATCCTGCTAGCGCATCATCATGCCCTCCAGGAGGACCTGGCCTCGCGACGTTGTTGGGGAAAAGATTGTTGCTGTCAGCTACTTGTTGTTACTGTTGCAGCTCAGGCGCCTTTGATGATTGGGCTTTGGCTCGCCGATATGTCGCTTATCTTACCCAGCGCTTAAAACCATCCTATTTGCTGCGGCTTTTTTCCTCTACCCTGTCTTTCGGGCAGGACCTGAGGCTTCGCCGTAATGCGTTGCGCAATCGCACAGCTATGTCCGCCGACAATACACCGTACGACCAGCAATACGGCTATCTGCCCATGGATCACGTGAAGGAGAAATACCGCGAGTGAGTGAGTGTGGGCACGCCGCCACATATCCGGACATCTTGTCCTGCCCCGCCGCTGATCCTTACAATTGTCTCACCCTCCGGGTTGGGGGGCTTATAACCGTGTTGCCCCTGGCTTCGGTATCTTGCCCACCCCTTACAGTGGCTCGTCAATGGTTCGTCAGTGGTCCGTCTTACCAAACAATGCCCTCACACACCTTCGCTAGTGCCCTGCTTCTGCCGTTGGCACGCCTGATTCGGCATGCCTAACTCCTAACCTTGTCAAGTCCCTAACCGTCGGTCTGTCTCTGTTTCCCAGCGCGACGCGCTGTAGCACTGAAGTCATGTGCCGCATTGCCGCATTGCCGCTTGCCCCCGCAGGCAGCTGGAAGCGATGTCGGAGGCGGCAGGGTCCCTGGGGCGACGCGCCTGTCACGTGACCCGCATGGAGGCAGTGAACATGCACCTAGTGGACCGCGAGCTGGAAGCGATCGTTGCGCGGCTGGCCAAGAAGCATGCAGATCTGGCCTTTCTGCTGGCCAAGCACGAGGTGCGCTAGATGGGTTGCCGACAGAACGGGCAAGGCATGAAAGGGACGCAAGGCGAGATGGGGGCACAGGTATAAAAGACGGGGCGGAAGAGGATTGGCAAAGCAGTTGGTAGGACAGGCGGTAGTCAAGTGAGCGGCGCCATGCAGTGGAGTCTCAGCTGCTGCGCTATTTGGATGGGCGAGGGACGGATAGATGGCCGTCCAGTGTCTGCATGAGCAGCAGCTAAGCGAGGTTGGCGTGTAAATGGCCTTACACCTTGAGCATCCAACTTTCCAAAGCATATGGTATGCGCGTAAATGGGCACGCATTATTGCGGCGCCTACAGACGCTTATGCAGGGCAGACACACATATCCAGCTGCCGTTTGAAGGACATGCAGGGCGAGATTGATTCAACAGTGCATTTCAACAGATGGCGTAACATCGTACGTGGCTCGTACCACGTGGCTCGTACCACGAGTGCAGGAGAAGCCCTCGCCACTGGCGCTACTGGAGGCGGAGCTGGCTGATCTCAAGGGTTACGTGGAGGACTGCAGGGCCGCGAACGCCACAGCGCTGTCAAAGGGCCCCCGGGTGAGCGCTGCTGTATCCTTCCAGTGTGGAAAGGGGGAGAGGAAATGGCAGTGGGCGGGTCAATCTGGCGATTCTGTACTATTTCTGTCTTGGTGTCCTCGTGTTGCCTATTGGACGGTCACTTTTGCTGTTGGTGGGTCATGTTCAATGAACCCGGCAAGCATGCTATGTCGTATGTTTACCATGTGCAATACTGCAGCTCGATCCGGCCTTTCCGTTATGTCTCGCTTGTCGCTGTAGTGCTGATGCGGTAACCCGGGCGCATTCGTTTGCAACTCTTGCCGCATGCAGGCACGTGAGGCCACAAGGTCAAATCCAGCTGCAAATGCCCGGCACAGCTAACCGCTCGTGACTTGACCTGTCACACTTGACCTAAAACGCAAGCGTGCTGGTGATAACACCACCGTGCTGCTTGCACCTAGATGTGTTTACCGGATCATCGACATCTAAATCCTCGTTTCGAATTGGTCAGCGTATTATCCCGCTGTCGTCCACGGAAGGCTGGAGCTGGCTGGAGCTGGTTGGAGCTGGTTGGAGCTGGCTGGAGCTGGGACCCCGTGAGCGCGTCGCGATGCTTGGATTTCAGTTGGCAGGAGCCACAGCCTCACTCCTGGAGGTACTTGCTCTGCTCCCGGTGCGCATGCAGCTTCTTCGGGTCGGATGAGGAGTTACGGCTGTCGACACGAAGTGTACGACTCTGTCCGCAATTCCGTGGTGTGATGCTGTGCCCGTTGTAAACAGGAAGACCCCTTTTGGGCTTTTGAAGTCGACACGTAGCGTATGGGATGTGCGGAGGGTCGTAACTAATTCCGAATTCTTTCGCAGTGTTGGGAAACTATTATTCCATTGCATTTGCGCTTACGCGGGGTGTGCGGGACTTGTCGCGTTGTTGCGGCTTCGCTGGCTTGGGATTCTGCAGGGATGTGCTCAACAGCAGCTAAGTTTTGATAACAGCCGTGGTGCCGGGCCTCTGTTGTGGGACTCGACGCATGACAGGTGTGACATAACACCGTACCATATGAGATCTGAAAGTCCCGGTACGAGGTTTAGTGTACAGCTCCCTGCCTAAAAGGATCGTGGGGGATAGGCGCTTCTTTTTGGGCCGCACTTGACAGCCGTATATATAGCGCATCGACCCACCATGCCCAATGTTTCAGGTCTCCATGACACGCATGCTGTTTCTTCACTATTTTGTGATTCGGATTGGTTGCGAGGTCCGTAAAGTGATCGTCACTTTTTCTTGCATTTAATCCGTGCAAGTCCGCGAGTTTTTTTACGAGAGATGTTTCTTGCCAGGGACCCCTTGCGTGCATACAGCCCAACGGTGAACTCAAGGGCAATCAGTGAAATTGGCGGCTTTGCAAATCTCCGTTGACTTGCCCTGTCCGGCTGGTGGCAGCCGGAAGGAGTTCGATGGAGGGGCTCCCTTTGCAGCCCTCCAGCTTGAGGCCTGCGGATTAGTTGGCATCTTTGCCCCGCGCACGGAGTCGGGGGAAGCAAAGGAGACGGGGAAAGCAAACACAGCTGCGAGATAGCGCGAGGTCTGAGTTCTTGGGACATCCGTCTTGTAACGCCAAGAAAGATAATCAAGAATACCCATGGAGCGGCTGCTTTTGGCATTGTTTTAATGGTGGGACTAGGTTCGGGCCCGTGTGTCCCCGGAAGCACGCCGTGGTAAGGTTCCTCCGTTTGAGATTGGCTATGCTTACCAATCTGTAGCATTACGTCAAAGTCGATGATGCGCCGGTTACCGTCCTGCAGGCACTGCGCATTCTTACAAACTGGTTGTCCACTCTCACCCAACTACCATACCAAAAGTGCAAGTGGGTAACATGCGCCCTTGACTATTATGCAAAATTAAAAGGGAAGACATTAGAAATTCGGCTATAACGGCCAGAAAAGGAAAAAGCCTATATAAGCGGCTGCTTATCCGATGGTTTGGTTTATGCGAATGTCTTATCATGATACATACATATTACAGCTTGTGTTACATGCTGACGGCTGCTTTCGAATGCAACGTCAGTAACGTCGTTAGACCCTGTAATCGTACTGCCGTATTCGCCGAAGAACTAGAGGTAGACCGAGCCAATGTTCCCTGTTCACAACAATCCGTTCTGGCATCATCTTTTTGGCTTAGAAGTAGAGACCTTTTGAGCACTTATCCGCCTCCTTAGTTAACCCTCGACGCCGCTAACATCGACTTTAACAAGTTATAAGAGGATTGCCCGAACGTATACAAGACTTACAACCAATGGTCTGGCAACCCTCAGGTGGACACGCCACAATGGATCACGATATCAGGGTTGGGACACAACGTCCAAGCATGGAAGTGAACCCTTTGCTCACGCACCCCGAGCTTGGTAGCGTCAAGAAAATATTGTTTAACAACCCACCTTCCGATAAAGTGTTTGGATATACTCCACCCAAGGACCCGGAGGGCGCACGCGAAGGTGCGTTTCCACGACGGCCCAGCAAGAGAGGATAGCACCTCATTACAATCATGCTTGTACTTTCCTTATATCATCATGTCAAGCTATGGTTATGATCAGTGAATTGCTGAAACCCGTGAAACTGCCGTTGGACTGTTTTGCGCCTGTCTTAACACCGTGCAGTCATGATGATTTGGAAAGGGCACCAAGCCAGCCCTTCCCAAGACGTGGTTAAGCCATCTCCTGATTTCAAGACTCTGAACAAGATGTCCGTTACCAGGTATGAGGGCTTGCAGCGTCACATACGGCCACTTCGCGGGCACGTTTTACCCGTTCCGTCGATTTCCAAGCATATACACATGATTGTACCCTATCCATAAGCTGTTTCCCATTTCACCCCTGCCAAGGCAATGCCGCGCTACGGGCCCCCTGACTGCTGGAAGTACCATTCCCCAGCCAGCTGCTTATCTGCTGAAATCCCCGCACTGCCTTTCGCCATTTCTCCTTTCCTACAGCGGCCTCTCGGACGCAAAGGACCTGCCTTTCTTCCGAAAAATGCACTCGGATGTGACGGTGAAGACTGGGCTCGACCGCTCGCCGTCGGCTTCCCGTCGCTCCGCGCTCCCCACGATACCAGCCTCCAAGACCAGCTCCGTCTTCGGAATGCCAAGCGCTCACCGGAGCGCGGAGGTGATTCGGACACACGGCCCGGAGGAGCCGCCAGTCAAGTATCTGGTCCAGGGCGCATACCAGGATGACTGGGTGCGCAAGAATCTAGAGGCGGAAGCCGCCGGCAGCAGCCGACAGCGGCAATACATTCCGCCGCAGCCCACCAAGGCAGCATTGGGACACTCAATGGGCGCGTCCCGGTACTTGCAGCCCCACAGTGACGAGGAGCAATGGAAGATGAACAAGTTCAAGACGGTGAGTATGCAGAGGGCGGCAGGAATGCTTTCATTCCAGACAAGCTTGAGCAGCGTCGTCTTTACCTGGAGATATGTTATTGCGCTGATGTGGCGCCCTGATGGGACTGGCAGTGGGGGTGGGGACCGGTCGACGATAGAAGTCTAGGGGGGACCAGTGTCGTGTGTGTCATGTAGCAGGTCGGAAGTGTTGGAGGGAACATGCCGTTTGTGCTGGTGTGGAACACGGCGATGGGCCACGAGGGGGGGGCATCCAGGGTTTGGGCGACCTGTTATTGCATGAAAGGGGTTCTCTGTTGAGGCATTTCCTGCTCCAGGACTTCAGCCGTGAATATTACTACATCACAAGGGTGATATTTCCAAAAGAGGCTAGGCCCTGTTCGTATGAGAATGCTCCGCGCTTCTGGCCTTTCTTGGATGTCAACGCCGGCGCTGGCGTTTCATATTTCGTTATCCAACTTGACCTGATCCCATGACCTGATTCCACAGGTGAACCCTCGAGTTACCAAGTACACTGGGGGGTCAGCTCGCGCAATGAGGGTTAAGGACACGGTGCCAGTGGCAGAAGCAGCAGCATTGACAGCGGAGGCTATGGCAGAGCAAGCCAACGCGTGAGCACGGACGTCCTCCTGTTTGGTTGAATCCCGAGTTTGGCGATTCTCCAGTGCAAAAGCACTACCTGAGGCATTCTTAATATGAAGCATGGTGGTAGTGATATGATGGTCATGGCGGCGGCGGCGGTGGTGGTGGTGACTGCATAGCACTGTGACGTTTCATGTCGCGGGGTTGGGGATTACATATGGGCCGTGTACAGACGGGAGTGGGTAGAATTTTTCCTGCTCAGCGCGCGGAATGTGCGGATACATGGCTGCCCGTCCGGCCTGAGCACGTCCTGCGAGGCACATTTGGCGCGCCAGGGTTGACGCCTATTCGGACAGGGGCCCTGGGCATACCATCAGAACATACGAGGCAGGCTGGGGTTGGGGGCTAGCAGCAGTAGCAGTTGCAGGAAGGAGCGAGGCTTGGAATGTGGGGGGCCCCCTGGCCGCCGTGAGAGCATTAGGCGTAGGAGCGTGGGAATGTGCTTTCCTGGTAAACAACTGTGAACTGGGCGGCAGCGGAAAGACGTTGTCGATGTTATAGTGCGAAATTGTGGGGGAAGGGGCCAAGAATTTTGCCTGTGTGGCAGCGGGGGGTATAGAAGGAAAAGGGTAATGTGGGGCTTCAGTCCCTCTCCTCGAGGTTTCAGAGGGCGGACATCTTGTACATGAATGACTGTAGGAGCCGTCGTGTTGTGGAAGAGCCAAGGCGTACTGCAAGTGGGGTGCCGCAGCCTGGCTCGTCTGGTCAGGGTTCTTATTCATAGTGCTGGCTGGAGCCACTGTAAGCACTCAAGCAAATCTTATCCCGGTTATCTGCTCTTTGCATAGCCTGCGGGTACGGCATTTCCGACATATCCCGGCGCGCGCGAACAGGCTCATCCAAGGAAAGATGCGCAATCGCCAGCCGGTTATGTACTTGTATCATGCTCGACTGCATTCCTTCATGGATGATAATGCTCATGATTTTCTGCCTTCAAGTAGGAGTCTAGGTTGTCTCACTTCATTCTAGTTACGGTCTTATGGTGTCTCCGGAGCGCACACCATAAGTCCGTAACTAGAATGAAGTTTCATAGGGATTGTCGTAATGGAAATTATGCTAATGGAACCCATGCGTGAGCCAGGCACTAACAGCTGTTATCAGGTTGCCCTCAAAACTACCATGCATTTTTTTGAGCCGGATCTCCGTTGACAGCTCCTTGTAGCTGTTGCCTCCTCTCTCCACTGCTTCCAAAAGCAAACATGCCACTAGAAAAGAATTACCTGAACAACAGCTTCAGGCCTGGAATCTTTAGCGGGTTTACGTTTGTCGTCAGTTTGGCCGGTCCCCAACACAGAGGTTTCCCACCGGATAAGGAGAGCTTCACCAATTTGCTTAGGAAATATGTACTTAAAGCAATATGTACGTGCTTGTTGCCTGTCCTGTTGCGGCGTCGCTCGCCCCCAAAGAAGCATAATAGGCTCTATCGGCGTGTATACTGCAGGCTCGAATGGTGGTATCGTCGTTGGTGTGGAGGACCGTTTCGTGGGCGGAACAACGCATGTTATTGCCAGCCATGAGCAGCAGGTGGTTGTCCAGGAGGCGCGCCAGGCGCAAAGCCAAGGCACAAACGTACATATCTACGGACCACAGTGGATCCTGGCTTGCATAGACACCAAGGAACTTATCACGGAGGAACAGGTGGATACCGAACTCCCGATGTGTTGGACAGCCGTGAGGATGTTTTGTGCTGATCAGCAAGGGCATGCAGCCCCGGCGTGAACCAGCCGTCCTGGTATATGCCGCATCCAACGCCCTGAGCTCACCAGTGCGTCTACTTTATGTCGCATCTTCACTGAGGTCCCTTCCTACGCTGACACACACTTTCAGTTTGACATTATCACCCACATTGTCACCAACCCACACTCTACAGCCTCCCGCTAACGTCCGCCCTGCCTGCGTGATAGGAGACCTTTGGCCTGTTACCCGGGCCGCACGACCCCGGTGTACCCGGTTTCCGAGACTTCACCAACCACATACGGGTCTCCGGTGTGCCGGTGAGTCCCGGGGCCCGGACCTTCTCATTATCTCGGCCATGACGCATGAGCGACGCGGCCCTGCTGTCGCCATGCCGCCTGCTGCCGGGCTTCAAAAACGCGCACACAGTATTGGAATACAGCGTGCGCCATGGCTGCAGGAGGTAACGCTGGGAGTACAATACCGGGCTTGTGGTGAGGCGCATCAGAAAGGAAGGAGATCCCTGCTAAGGAATAAACAAAGCCGCGGCCTCCGACCGCTACTCCAACCCTGCACGTCCGTGCGCGTCTCTGCCCTGTCTCCTACCCTGAGCTCCGCGCCTCTGACGTGATCCCATCTGCCCCTCCATCTCTCCCTGGACCCGGCCGCAGGCGGACCGCAAAGATTTTCGCATGTTGCTCATGTACTGGGTGGAGTGTTTTGGAGGACGCAGCGCCAATGAGACCGCGGCTATGGACACATCGCATGTCCTGACTTGGAACGCGGGCACGCTGACGCCAGCACAGCTGGAGCTGGAGCTCAGGTACGAGGTTATATCATGTGGCGAAGGTGGTGGGTCAGAAAGAACTAAAGAAGCTGCCGGGCGCTCATGGGGGACCCAGGGGAACAGTAGGAGCTGGTAGGCCGCATGGGTCGAGGGGGACATTGGGGACGATCAGGGCTTTAGCGGGCTTAACTGGGGCACTCCCTGCACTTTTTTTACAAGGTGGGGATGAAGGGGATGATTGTCCTCCCAACTGGAGCGCGGTAAGGGAGAAAGCACCTCGCGCACTGCAATGCTGATGTGTGTGGTGTGCGTTTCGGAAGCCGGGCCGGGGGGCCCCGCCTGCTGGGGTGGTTGGAGCGGGAAGGGGGATGTGTTCGGTGACGGACTTGGCATGGAGGCATGAAGTCGGCCGCGTCTTGGCAGGGACAGCGCAGGGCTTCATTAATCAGGTTCCCCCCCACGCCTGGTTAGGATTCACAGCAGATGCGGAATCTCTTTGTGGGTGGTCATACTGAAGCGATAGGTCACTTATGTGCCTTTGGATCTGAGCTTTACTAGCAGTATTGACGCATCCGCTCAACAGCCGACTCGCGCTGTGTGTCTAAGTCTGCGTCTGTACAAAACGCTACGGTTCCTGTGGGGCCTCCCCCTTCAGATTCCCCCACGTGCGCCACGTGCACTACACATGGCTGTTACATTGCCGCAGCAACTGGGAGATAGTGGACGACGGTAAGTGAAGGAGTACGTCAGTACGTGAGTGAGTGAGTGGATGGCTCCCCTTCCTCAAGTGCCACAAGGGCTGGTAGGTCCGATTGGGACAGATTCCTGGGCTCCCTAGGCTCCTGGGCCACCGTTCCGCTTTAAGCAACCCATCAGTCCTACGAGGCCGTCCTGGGGGCCAACATTATTACACTCGCCTCAATCCACGTGCCGTGCTACACGCATCAGGGTTTGTCATTGTTGTTGTTGTTGTTGGGAGGGGGAAAGACGAACCACACGCGATTGAAGCTGCTGCCAGTTGTTGTTGGGGGGGGGGATAATTTGAAATCCCTTCATCTCTCTTGGCCTCCTTATGCAGCATCTTACAGACGGTGCCGTGTACCCGTTGTCGCCGTGCCTGCAGAGCCGTTCCGTCTGATGACCCCCGACGAAGCAGGAGTACCGCAGTTGGAGCAGCAGCAGCAGCAGCAGCAGGGGGAGGAGGCAGCGATGGCCTTCAAGATGGACGCACGGTCCGCTTCCGAGTTACCTGCCGGGCAGTTCTCTCCTCACTATCCGCTGTCACGGCACTACGACCACACTGGTACCAGCGGAGGAACCAGCACGCCTGCGGCCGCGCCCGACGCCACTCCTGCTGAACACTCCCAACCGCCATCACACCACCACCACCACCACCGTCACCACGGCGGTCCCCGGGTCTGCCGGCAAGGCGAAGCTTGGGGTGTGGCGAGCGGCGGTCGCCCGCCAGCTGAGAATCTGAGCTGCATAGAGCCGTCTGCAGCGCCCGCTGGCGGTGTTGGGGCCCGGCGGTGTAGCGGTAGCGGTAGCGGTAGCGGTAGCGGGGATGATGGCGGCGCGCGGGCCAGCTGTCCTGTCCGTCCCGAAGGCGGCCCTGGGTGTCACCGAATGGGCAGCGAGCGCCACCACCAGCACGACTGTCGTCAATGGGAGGAGCAACGGCAGCAGCAGGAGCAACAGCATCATCAGGTACAGCAGCAACAGGAGGACATGGAGATGATGGATGGGTTAGGGGACCAGCATGCGGACCCGTCGCCAATGCAGGGCGGGATGGAGGCAACCATGGCGCGCAGCGATGAGGTGCAGCGGGAGTCCCTGAAGCCGGTAAGTCTGGCGGAACAGCCACCACAGCTCTGGCCACCCACGGCAGCGCCGGCGGCATCCCCTTGCGCGTTGCCGGTGTGCGCATATCGCATCAGTCCCCGTTGCTGCGAAGGTGAGAGCACCGACTGCTTACCGTCGGGCGGTGAGGGAGTTCTACGAAGCGACGCAGTGGCCCCCGGCCGGCGTCAAAGACGCAGTCGAGTAGCTGACGCCGTCGGCGCCGCCGACACACGTCCGGCGGGTGGCGGTGACGATGGCGCGGCACCGGCGGCGGTAGCGATCCGGACGGTGCAGCCACAGATGGAAAGCTTGGAAGGCAGTTGTTGCACGGCACCCGCTGGCGGTGCCGCACAGGCCGGCCCCGCGGGAGCCCCACCAGCTGCTGACCCGCGGGTCCATGATGAGCTTGGCAGGCACGCAGAGGATGTGAAGGAGAGACAGGCGGATTGCGTCATGAGCGGCGCTGCAGCAGCTACTGCTGCTGCTGCTAAGGTGGAGAGCCCTGCTGTACTGGCGTTGGCGCCACCGGCGGACCTCGTAGTAGTGCTGGAGTTGGAGAGCCACCGGCATCCCGTGGGGCCATGTGCTGGGGAGGGGCCCCCGGCCAATGATGGGGTTGAAACCACGGAGCGAGCGGCCGTGGCTGTGGGACCGGATGAGACGGCGGAGTTACGCACGGATGGATGCGGTGCGGATGAGGGCGGGGATGTAGGAGGGCAGGGTTGTTGCAACCGCTGGGAGAATGAGGGACAAAATCACAGACGGCTATGTGACGGCAACGGCAAAAATGGATCTCCGGCGGAATTTGGGCATGCGGCAGCACCCGCCGGGCCAGGTGCACTTGAGGGCCGGCGAGGGCGAGATCCGTTGGCGCCGCTTGAGGCTGCCGCAGCCGGACGGCGGCGGCTCAAGGTGGTACCACCTACTGGACCGGCGCCGCTGAAAGCGCGGCCGGCCGCGGCCGGGGCCCTGGCGGCGGCAGAGGCAGCGGCGGCAGAGACCGCCGGGGCCCCCAAGGACTTGGACGCCGTGGGCATCAGCGGCGCTGGCAGATGCGACGTGGATGCGCATGAGGATGCTCATGCAAGCCGGCCGGCGGTGTCGCTAGCCGACGGCGAAGGGCCGGGGACAACTTCTCCACCGGGGTGTATGCGACGAAGGCAGCGGCGGCGACTGCATCTCTACGCGGCTTCGCCACAGGAGCCGAACCACATTCACACGGAGGAGATGGCGGCGTTAGGGAATCCGTTGGACGCTGATGGCGGCGACAGCGCAGGTGGCGAACTGGAAGAAGAGCGCGAAGGCGGATACGGGGGCTGCATGGGGCCGCGGCGGGACGGTGGTAACGGCAGGAACGGGGGAAGGGGTGCTAGGGCGTTTGACCCAGCAGCCGAAGCTGGGGCTGAGGGCGGCACGGCCGCGGCAGCGGGGCCACCGAAGTGGCGGCGGCAGAAGCGGTCCGCAGGCGTAGGACCCGACGCCGGTGACGCCGTCGGTCCAGCCCTGCAGCCGGCGGGTGTGCAGTGCGCACCCGCCACTACAGCAGTAGATGCTGCAGCAGAGGATGCAGAGCCGGGTGCAGGGGCGGGTCGTCGGCCAGCGAAGCGGCCTCGCAGGGCTAAAGGCGAGGTGACAGCTGAAGCGGTGGCGGCCAAGGCTGCTGCGCCTGACAAAGCCTGCGGCGCCGATGCAGTAAGGCCGTACTGCGCAGGTCGTGGTAGCGATGCCGCTGCTGTTAAGGACGGCGGTGAGGCGCCTTCTGGCAATACGGAGGTGGTGGAGGGAGGAGGGCTTAAGGGTAGCGGCGGGGGGTACAGCGGCGAGGGCGGCACCTGCCAGACACGTGCGGCATCAGTGGGGCGAGGTGGAGCCAGGAAGCCGCGGCAGCAGAGTGCTGCTGGTGGCGCCAGCAAGACCGCGGAAGGTGGTGAAGAAGTGGATGATTTGGGGCAGCCGCCGCCGCCGCCGCCGCAGCAGCAGCAGCAGCAGCAGCAACAGCAGCACCTTGAGCAGAAGCCGACGGCGGCCAGCACCGCAAAGGTTCGGAAGGTGGGCATTGCCAAGAAGCCGAAGACGACCGCGGCCCAACCAGTCTTGCCGGTTGAGGGCGCAACGGATGTGGTGAGATTGGCTGAGGCTGAGGCTGAGGAGGCTGTGAATACCACTGTCGCCGCCGCCGCCGCACCAGCAGCCCCGGCACGTAAGCCCAAAGGCCGCGGCAACGGCAGCAACCACGGCGGCGACAGCAGGACCGCGATGGAGGAGCCGGCGTCGCTGATAGTGTCGGCAACTCAGCCGGCGGCATCGCAGCGACCGCAGGGCCGCAGCGGCTCCTCTCCTATTCGCACGGGCCTTAAACTCGTGTTCGGATTGAGCGGCTTCACGGCCGAGGAGCGCACGCGGTATGGTGCCACGCTCAAGGCCTTGCATTTGTCGTATGTACCAGGTACGGATGTACAACCCACAGGGCACAGTTTCCGTTGGAGCAGCACGGAGGTTACTGTGCCCTGCCCTATGATGGGGCAATAGAAGGCCCTGGCGGGGCAGTGTGTTCGGCAGTATGTACACACGTAATAAGTGGATAGCCCTCGGCTCGCGCATCTTGTCCTCCCCTTGATCGTCCTCCTGACGTATCACATACGGTATCCCAGTACCTTTTCAAAGCACGCACAAAGCGCTGCTCCTTCCAGCGCCCACACCCACACCCACACGCCCATGTCTCATATGGGTGTCTCTCACCCCTGTGTGGTGCTGGTTCCTTCACTGGCACACCGCTCCGACCGCAAACCCTCACCCCACTCCGGAAGGAAATTACCACCACCAACAACTATCCGGAGGTTACCCCATTATGGTAAGGCTACTCCTGTGCCATCCCAACTCCCCTCGCCCTTGATAGCAGCTTCACTCGCTCGTGGTTCGTCTTTCCCTCCCCCTCGCCAGTTCTTGCTGCCTGCGGCTCAGGTCATCACAACACACTTCACCATCCCGACCTTCACCCCTTTCCATTGCTGCAGTTCTCAACGACTGGGACCCGCGGATCAACGCGCTGCTGGCCCCCGGTCTCAAGCGCTCCGACAAGACTGTGTGTGCCATGGCGGCGGGCGCCTGGCTGCTGCGGGCGGACTACCTGGCGGCCTGTCAGGCCCAGCGGGAGACCGGGGCGGGGGCGGGGGCGGGGGCGGGGGCGGGGCCCGGGGCTGCACCGGAAGATTTTGAGCTGTGCGAGTGCGAGGACGGCGCCGCGGTCATTTCTACCGGTGCGTGTGCGTATGTACGTATGTGCGTATGCGTGTGTGCGGTTATGAAGAGCGGATAAGAATCGTGATGTCGCTTACGTGTACCCGTACGTGTGGGGAACGTGTAGGGAACGTTCCTTGTGTGCGCATCAAGGTTCATCGCGCTGCGGTGTGTGCGCATGTGGGTGCGGGTGAGAGTGTGAAGACGTGGTTGACGGGGAGCTCGGTCCTGCTAGGTAGGGAACCGCGTACCTAGCTCCCTGCCTTGCCCCCTAGTCCCTAACCCCTCATCTCCCAACCTCGCTCCTCTCAGGTGCTCCATCGCACTGGCGTCGCCGCCTGGAGGCCCGGGGTGCCGCCGGTCGCGCCTTCTCCGGTCTTCGCGTCCTCATTCCCCCTGGCCTTCCTCCGCCTCTGGACAGTGCCACTCTTGCTCGTATGCTGGGTGCGGGTGGCGGTGTGGCGGTGGTTAAGTCGGGTCCCTCAGCCGCTAAGGGCTGCCACGTGGGGGTGGTGCAACCGGGCGGCAAGCAGGAGGAGAAGTGAGGCCAGGGTGGTCGGGGGGCCGGCGGGGAGGGGAGACAAGGAAGTCATAAACGGGAATGAGTGGGGCTTGGGGACCAATTGCAGCGATGTGTGGTGTGGTGTGGTGTGGTGTGGTGTGGTGTGGTGTGGTGTGTTAGCCAGGTGAGACTGCAGGGCGGCATAGGCAAGGTGCGCTACAGGGAGGAGGGAAAAGAGAGGCGCGGCTCCCACCGGCACACCAAGGCATGGGGGCTTGGATGGTGGTGAAAGGGAAGGGCCTTGCATCAGGTGTGGCCCAGGCTTCAATCTTATGGACCCAATTGTGCTGTGTGCTCATTGGCATCCCTAACCGTGTAGTAGCCCTCCAGGAAAACGTTTCTCACATCCTGTGTGTGGCCCCTCCTGACATGTATCCCCCCCTGCCCTGTCCCCCGCCTCCCCAGGTTGGTGGCCTCGCTGCGGGTGGCCGGGGCTGCTGTAGTGGCGCCCGCATACGTGGTGGATTGGGTGGCACACCCACATGCATGCCTGGCGCACCACTACCGCCACGGCACCGCGCCCGGGGAGGCGCTGGCGGCACTGGAGCGAGATCGCGGCGCAGTGGCCCCAGTTGAGCACTGCTAAGATTGGGTCCTAGAGGAACAGGCGAGCGAGTAGACACTGGCAAGGAATTCGACAGGAAGCATCGGGAAAACGCGTTTGTTTGCCATTAGGTGAATGGATAGGGGAAACACTCGGGGTAGAATCGATGAAATTCGATGCCTGGGAAAATCGGTGTTTGGGAATTGATGGGGCTGGGACACGTCCGAACGCATTGAGTAGTAATGGGTTGTGGAGTGTGTGTGGGGGGGGGTTCTTCTTGGTGGAGCACAGAGGGGTCATCTGGCCAGGGCTGGGCCGGGAGACCGGGAGGTGCCTGCTCCGGAGGGTTTCAACCATCATGGAATGCACCGCAGTGAAGTACTGACGACATTGGGACTTCGGACTGGCTCGCAAGTTGTATTTGCCACTCAAGGGATTCCAGCTGTCAGGGAAAATGCGGTGGGCCATGAGCCCCGCTGCAGCTGGCTGGTTTAGAAATTGCGTCCTTGCGTGGCTGCTAGTGCACCGGAACGGTAGGGAAGTATGGCCTGATGCCACCGCACAAAGCCAATGCCACCGCTTCCAATAGGATATGTACATATGGGGGCGGAGCTCGGGAGGACATGTCCCGGGCTCGCTGTGTCTCCAAACAACCGACAGGCCGCTTTACATGTCGAGGTGTAGCTTCATGATGCAGCCTCTGGGGTGCCCGACAGAAATGGCTTCAGTACGGATAGGCCAACCTGAACATGACGGTATCCGGTATCCACAGAAAGGTGTTGGGGAAGTCACAGGAACACGCAAAAAACACGTTACCAGTTGTCGACGATCTACATACAACAGAGCAATCATTCTTCCAGCCCCGCCTAGTGCTGTTGCCAACGCTACCAGTACCAAAGCTATGAACTAAAACTTGCGGTCAAGTACACGACGACGCCACATATCTTTGACGTGGACTTGCAAAAAGATTGCATTTTGGCAACACCCACCAAAGCTTACAGAGGCAGAACGAATAAGAATTTACCATTAAACGTCACCATAACAACCATCGATTTCAGGGTCATCGACTGAATTACTACGGACCGGAGCGATGACTCAGGTTCTGAGGAGGGTCGCAGGCGGGCACATGGCCTAGGAGACATACAGCACAACGTTTCCTTCCAACACACTGCCGGACTGTCGATCGACAACGCACCTCCAACGCGTGCCAGTTGACCCTCAACAGGCTGCCATGGGTATAAACCCCTATCAAAATTTAGTTCCATAGCGTTGAGTCACGTCCCTTACCCAGAGCGGTGGACGGCGCACGTAACCAGAGCATTTATGGGCTCCGCTACCAGCTGCCGGCGTCCCGATAGTCAACAGTAACAATCCCAGTAAAAGAATAAGCACCGTGCTCCGCACTACCCTGGGAACGAGATTATGAACAATCTTATAGCTGTTCTGTAGGGTTGCTGCAGGCCAAAGATTGAAACCCGCTATGTCAATAGCCATTGTATTTACTCAAAAGAAAAATAAAGCGCCGTTTCGAGCGAAAAACACCAAACGGTGCCAAAACGATGCCAGAAGAGAGCTGCACGCAACAGATCAGCCAGGTTCTATTTAAAAGAATCTGCAGCAGCAGTAGCAAATGGTTGCAAACACATGCCGTCAAGGCAATGTAGGTTCTTTTGAATTTTGGGGCAGCTGCTATGCGTTGCAGGAGCCAGCGGCGATTTCAAGCAACTTACCAGGGAACACGGCTCATGCCGGTCGCCCTGGTCATGAGCAACGAGGCTGAGGCCTTCAGGGACATGCGATAGGTACTACATAGCGCACAGGACAGCCCAGAAAAACACTTTACGACATGGTCATACAGCAGCACAGTACCCAGCAAGACCGTACACACGACGAAGCAGAACACGGAACCCGGAAGGCATTACTTTCCGGTACACGGTAACCCACGAAAGCCTGGTGGCTACTTCGCAGAGAAGCTCGACAGAACACCCACATGTATAGATGCACGCGTCCATTCAATACATCATGTCCTCCTCTTCAGAGGACATCCACTCCCTCAAAGTACGTTGTTTGACATCTGTAATACTGCTCGACTCCTGTCACTCACTTGAGCAGCACACACTGTATCAAAGCTGTTCACTCCTTTCTCAAGTTTTGGACTGTCTAATCGAAGGCACCTTTAATCGTTCGTGTTCATGCGCCGCTAGCACCCAGCGCCTGTGATGGCCCAGGTGCGCTGGCGTCCTCCAGCTTCCCCGGCAATCTGTCCACGTCGGTTTGCACCGTTTCACTACTGCCATCCACGATGTCCTGCCCCGCCGGGGCCGCCGCTCCGGAACGTCCTTCAGCCCCGCCATCGTTGCTGTTGCTGCGGCGGCCGTCCTCAGCGCCACCGTCCCCACTCCCACCAGCTCTGCCAATCTCTGGAACACCGCCAGCACTGCCACCATTCGGTGGCAGCTCGGTGCCGCCAGTACCACCGCCGGCACCGCGTGCAGTACCCTTGTGCAGAAAGCCGTACAGCTCCAGATTGCTGAGGCAGAAGTTGTGTCGGCTGGCGGGGTTAGGGGAGGCATTTGGCGCTGTGAGCAGAAGCCGGAAGGCCCTGTACGGCACCGCGGCTGCAGGCCCTATGACCGGCCAGGAGGCGTACTGCCCCGGCACCTTGATGGTGGTGTCGTTGGAGTGACGCTTCAGGTCGACCCAAACGGCCAGGTCGTGGGAGCCCTGCAGGGCAGGTAGGTACATATCGGCGAGGTGCAGAACAACAGGCATTTGACGACAGATGTGGCGCATATCATGACATGAACCTCTTGTTTTTGTTGGGAAGGGCCTTTTGCTTGCCAGCGTTTAGGACAGATACTACGAGATATGATCTAATGTGATACGACGCAACACGACAAGTACTGCGATGCGACACGACACGTCGTACATAAGAGTGTCAGGCAACGCAAGTTCGACAACGAGGGCGCAGGGTTGTGTGATTCAGATGTTCACCAAATGCATGAGCCACCAAGGAGAGTGAGTCCATTGTCAAAATCTCCTCTCACATCTGGCTCCTCGCAACCGAATCTCATCCCGGTTTCCCCACCTGCAGCACCCAGCTCCTCACAAAGTCTTGCGAGCCGTCGTGCCGCAACGTGTAGTACGTGATCGCAAGCTGGTGTTGCTCCCCTAGGTCCACCTGCCACCAACTGATGGCGGCGCCGTTGACGTACCGCGGTCCGGCAAAGTTTGTGCGCACAAACTGGCGGCCCACGACGACCCGCGGGTCGGTGGTTCGGCCCGTGGGGCTGGATGCGCGGACGTCCACGCGCTTCGCCAGCATGGGGTTCACCCACCCTTGAGACCCGTAGGACGTTCCCAGGAAGTGCAGCACTCCGCAGGAGTCACCGTCACACACGTACATGAGCTCCAACGCGAACGGCAAACAGCGGCGCTGGTAGCGCACAGACCAGCAGCTCTCGCCGGCAGTGGCGCTGCAGCCACCGCCGGGGCCCGACGTGCCGGCGGTCCCGGCCGGCGGCGGCGCGGCACCAATGCCACCACCGGCGGCCACATCCAGCCCTCCAGGCCCGCCGCCACTGCCGGTAGTGCCACCACTAGGGGCAGATGCAGCCGGCAGCGGCTTTACCAGCCGCCGTCCAGATGACGGGGAAAGTATCTGGGGCTCCGGACGTCCGTCCTGTCCCGCCGCCGAGGCAAATCCTGCGCCCGTCTCCCGTCGATGCACCTCGAGGGCTTCGTGCACCAGCTCTAACACCGCTTGCAGGCGCTGCACCAGGGGATCTCGCAGGCATTCGTGCAGTTTATCTATGGGGAGCAGCGGGAAGCGAATGAGGCTCAGTACGCGGCAAGCTGCCTCATCAGCCGAGTTGCCGGACCCCGTGACGGCCCCCCCGGTAGCGGCGGCACTGGTGGTGGTGGTAGTTCCGGCGGTGCTGCCTATGCCGGCGTGTGCGTGTCCCTGCGTGGGCGGTGGCGGTGGCCGCACTGGTGTGCTAGGGGCGTAGGGTAGGTGCAGAGAATCCAGAATTCCCTGAGCAAGGCCGCCTTTGGAGTGCGAGGGCGAAAGGTCCGCCTGGCTGCAGCCGCCTCCGGAGGGGCCGACCGCCGCTAACGGTGCTGGAGGGGCCTCAGCAGCCGGCGAAGAAGCGGTCGCGGACGACGGGTCAGAAAGTCTTGGCCGCGGCCCCGCCAGCGTTGTGGGCGAGCTGGGCCTCCCTGGGGACCCGCCGGGGGGCGACGCTAGCCGCCGTACACAGTTCCGGTGCAATGGCCCCGCGGTGGCGGCACCGCCGCCGACACCAACATTTGTGGTGCAAAACCTCGTCTCTGCTGCCAATGCGGCATCAGCCATCGCCGCCGAAGAGGCGGCGATGTACGAGCAGGCCCAATCGTGTACGGCATGGTAAATCCCTTGCTCGTCTACGCTAAAGGTGTTTTGGCAGACCAAGTCGCACATGGCGGCGGGAGAGACGCACCGCAGGTGCTGGTTGGGGTCGGGCAGACGTACAACAGTCTCGAAATGTCGCGCGATGAAGTCAAGGCAATAGCGGTACAGCTTCTGTGTTGTCGGCAGTAGCAGCTCTGCCAAATGCAGTGTACGACAGACGTTGTCGGCCGTTGTGGCAGCCATGATGGCTGCACAGGTGGCGTCAAAAAGGGATGGTACGGCAGAGGCAGCCCTGCCAGCAAGCTGGGCCTGCTCCAGGCGGGTGAAGTCCAAGGGGGACTGGAGCTCAATGGAGCGGTAGCTGACGTGGCGATCCCAGCAGCTGAGGCCGATGTGCTGCGGACATCAGGGATGAACGGGGCGGAGCGGTCTCGACGGTGGTCGTCGTGGGGGGCTAGAATAAGGGGTGCATCGTAGTTCAAATGTAATCCTCTCGCGTCCTTGCATGTCCCACACCCTCTCATGGCTATATCCACATCCCTTCCGCCGACAGTCTTTGTCTCATTTACATTTCACCACTCGCGCTTCCCAAAGGTGGCTGTCGCCGTGGCAAGGCGACATAAGGGAAGGCCACCAAAATGCGCAGTAAGAGCCGGGCTTAGAGAAGGAAGACCATACCCATTGATGATGTGATTGGGGTGGCTGCTGGAAAAGGGCAAGACCACGATCGACGCTTACGTCCCCAGCGATTGGTCTGGATGTGAGGGTAACCTGCGGTTCGTGTGGTTCCAAGCTGCACACACCTGAATGCCGGGAATTTCCTGGGTATCACGCCATTGGTGGCACACACCCTGTCCCGGTTCGCCGTGGCCAACTGTGAGAACGCCGTGGTTGAGGTCGATCCAATATTTGCTGAAAGCCTTGCTGCTGACGCGGGAGCAAGCCACGCCCGTTACCATGCATTGCGTTACTCCATTTTTTTCTATCTTCAAGCAACTGTTGCGGTGACTGCCAAAGATGATGGTGTAGTTTTGCTCAACCTGTAGTGCATTTCCACCGCTAGCATTCCCCTGTCGCAGAAGTGGCTGCAGACGCTTCGCACCAGGTGTCGATTTTAGGATAACTGTAACATCTGTATCTCCCTTGGCCTCGAATGATAAACATCCGGTACCAGAACGGAGAGTGTATCCCTCGCCTGTGAGCCACGCACATTCAAACGGCGGAACGACCAAAACTCCATTATTAACGCGCAACATGGCAACTATGGAAACTTGTTTACAAGTGGTTGGAGCGCATGCAGAAACACACTCTTTGACTGTTCAGCCCTGAAGCTCCAAGCTAGCATGTACGTAAAAGCGTAGTTAAAAGATGTATGAATGTAGCAGGTCAACTCTAAGAGCTACGGCAGCATATCATGCACCGCATCGAAAGCCCCACAGAAAAGCAGTGCCGTACGCTGCGTTGGATCACCGCTCTGCAAAACGCATATAGCCCTTTTGGACGCATACAAGCTTGCGAGCTGGAACGTCTGCACACCCAGATTACAATTAGAAGGTTTAGCAGCGTACAAGCACAACAATGCAGGCGACGCGCGTACCGGCTAAGGCTGGCGTTTCCAGCTCGGCCAAGGCAGTGCCCTCCGTCCGCGCCGGGCGCAGGTGCCTGGTAATTCCAAATGCCGTGAAGGATGTGTTCATGCCTGCCCTGAGTTCGACCATGACTGAGGGGAAGATCGTCTCCTGGCTGAAGAACGTCGGCGATAAGGTCAAGAAGGGCGAGGCCCTGGTGGTCGTTGAGAGCGACAAGGCTGACATGGATGTTGAGTCCTTCGCCGAGGGCATCCTCGGCGCGATCGTTGTTCAGGAAGGCGAGCGTGCAAGCGTCGGCGCGCCGATCGCCTTCGTGGCCGAAAACGCCAGCGAGGTGGAGGAGGCCAAGAAAAAGGCTGCTGCAATGGGCGCCCCTGCTGCAGCTGCCCCTGCTGCTGCTCCAGCTGCCCCTGCGGCCCCTGCGCCCGCGCCTGCACCGGTAAGGAACAATTGTAGGCGTTAGGAAATTGGCCGAGTCTCGGAGTTACCCACGATGCCACTTGAGATACTTGAATAACTTATTAACATAAATGTCTGTTTCCTTGTGTAATTCAATTGTAGGCGGCGGCACCGGCTCCCGTCCCGGCTCCTGCACCCGCACCTGTGCCTGAGGCGGTCGCCCCGGCTCCCGTTCCTGCGGCGCGCACTGATGGCCGCGTCGTTGCTACGCCTTACGCTAAGCAGCTTGCGAAGGAGCTGAAGGTAAACATAAGTCCAGTCCGAGCTTGGCCAACAATTTTCGTTATAACGCTTACATGTTACGACGCAGTCCGGGACTAGCCGATGGCCTTTGATGCGTTACAATTTTATAATGCAGCGGTATCTATTTTGGATATGTCCTGGCTGTGACCAGGTGTCCATTACTTCTTGTCGCCGTGGTCAGCAGCGATATCCATCAGTGCAATCCTGTCATAGATCCGTCCCTCTTCACCAACCAATATGTGTATAGTCTTCACACTCTGTCATTTGAGCTTTCTAAACAGCTGCAATTGAATGGGGTTAAGCCCGTACTCGGCTACCTTGCCAAGCCGCAGCATGCGCTATTCCCATTCCTTCATTCAGTTTCCTGCAATTGCTCCTCGTCCACGCCACATGCCACCATCCCCTCAAACCTGTGCAGTTGAAAGAAGTCCCATCCGGGTCTCTCCACATTGTAACCGACCAGTTTCCGCCATCTGTACCTCAGCCAATTACCACGCCATGCCTCGTGTTCCTGCACCCTTTCTTCGGCATGCAACGAAAGGAAACCACCGGCATGCCCCTCATGCCATCCCGCGTATCACCGTTCTCACGAATGCACACTTCCACATCCCCCTCACCCCCCTCACGGGTCCTCAACCACCAACAGGTGAAACTGAATGTTGAATCTCCCCCCTTTGAACCCTGAGCCAGGTGGATCTGGCCACTGTCTTGGGCACTGGCCCTAACGGCCGCATCACCGCAGCGGACGTAGAGGCGCGGGCCGCAGGCAAGCCCGCTGCGCCGGCCGCGCCAGCAGCGGCGGCCCCGGCACCTGCCGCAGCCGCCGCTGCCGCCGCTCCGGCCCCGGCCCCGGCCGCCGCCAAGGCCACCAAGGTATCTGAGCTGAAGGGCACCACCAAGCCTTTCACCACCCTGCAGGCCGCCGTGGCGCGCAACATGAACGAGAGCCTCAAGGTGGGCGGCTGGGCCTAGGGATGGGAACTGGGGTTGACCTCGGGAGGTACCCACCAGTGGCAACTGGTGGTCGGGCAAATGAATCGCCTGGAGTGGGGGAGCGATCGTGCGTTGAGATGTGCGGTATGAGTAGGGGCGGACCTGCCTGAGGTGGGAGTTGCCATGCGGCGGAGCGGATCGAATATTCGATTGCTGGGTTGAGCAATCTAGCGGCCTAGCAGCGGGTTAGTGTTGTGTGTGCAGGGGGAATATCGGTTGCACCTGCTCATGAACCTGCATGAAATGCTACGGTGGGATTGATAAGCAGTTGTTGGGCGGTCGTCATGTGGATTAAACCAGTCATTTTTGACTGAGCACCAGCCCCTCGGTCAGATTGATATGGCCGTGGCAGTACGGCAAAGCGCCGGCGACTAAGTGGCTGCACCGGTGTGCCGGCGATCGATCGTGAGTCATGCACAGCAGCAGCAGCAGCAGCGAGAACGGCAGCAGCTGTAGTTTTAAGGGTCTGGGTCGCGGCCCTGGGCTGGGCAGTCCTTGCTTGCTTAGCTGCACAACATCACAAGTTCACAACCGGTCGCAGTGCAGGTTTGTGGTTCGGGGCTGTGGCCCCTGCTGTGGGGGTTGCGGGGCCGTCGGCTGGACGGTCGGCTGCTCTGAATTGTTTTTTCACGGAGCGGAGAAGTTTTCGTTGCTCAATTCTGTTTGAGCAGGAAGGCAAGCGACTATGGCGCACGGCGTGCCGCGGCACGTGTGTGCACGTTTGCGCCTGTCTGAAAGTTGACCGGCTTGAAAAATTGAAGTAGTTCCATTACTCGAGCTAATCGATTGAACCCCCATCTCGCCCTCCGTAAACATTTCCGGCGATTATCGCCGCCATCTTCACCACAGGTTCCGGAGTTCCGTGTGTCGTACAGCATTGTGACCGACAAGCTGGACGCTCTGTATCAGCAGCTGAAGCCCAAGGGTGTCACGATGACGGCTCTGCTGGCCAAGGCGTGTGGTGTGGCACTGGCTAAGCACCCGCTGCTGTACGCCGGTGAGCGATTGATGACGTGTAGGGGAAGGGAGACTGTGGAGTCTGTGTATGTGCTGGGCGAGGGGAAACAAATTCTGACCGCTAGCATCATGTGGATCAGCGGGAAGATGCTGGCCGGGATATTGGGTTTCCGTTCCTGGGGGAGATCTTGTGCGTGCCGATCGATGAGCGCGCGTGTGTGCGTCTGTATGTGTCTAACCCGTTGGTTGGGGCTTTGAAGCGCGGGGGGGAGAGGAAGGAGTGCGTTGCGGAATGTTGTGGGGCTGCACAGCCCGGACTGCTGAGATCACCGCAGCTCCATGATGGTTGTGTACGGCTCTTTGGCGTGGGTGGTTATCCTACCGGCTGGGGGCGTAAGAGGAAGGCCCTGATCGAGCCACCGGGGTTCCTGCCGGCGCCCTGTTAGGCAAATGAACACCACACATAAGTTTGACCCAGTCGG